TTGTCTTCCCAGCTCTTGACGGCTGACGGAGTGATCGCTGATCCTGCTTGAAGCCTCTTAGACGAACCGTTTCATACCTTTTGAATCCTGATGGCATTCCGTACTCTGCTTCTTTCTTGTTCTGTGCAAGCCTTTTCTTGATCGCATTCTTGGCGACGTAGGTGGCTCTTATTGGGTCATAGATGCCAGGCCTGGGGTTCTCCTTTTCTCCGGTACTTTTTCCTGGCGAAGGGTGGGAAGTCGTCAGGCCACTGTAGCAGAGGTTTGAACAATGAAGCTCCCTGGCTGCACCGTTAATGATTTCATTTCCCTTAATCTCTTTATGTCCGGCAATCCACAACATTGAGGTTTTAAAGTTCTTTATATTGAGTTAAATTCTGTTACCAGGACGTCTTTTATCACAGTGCCTGTTCCGAGAGGCGTTTTGCATGCTCTGATGACGACCTGCGAGTTGAGATCAGCTGTCTGGACAATAAACCGAATTTTATTGTTTGTTTTTGATCCCAGAAATCGAAGATGGCGATTCGAAGTCCGCTTCTCCTGCGACCAACGCACTGGTCAGAGGGAAACGCTCGTGCCCAGATCGTGCTAGGCGAAGTTCAATTCCTTTGTTATGCTGTGTTAGTAAAGGGGTATTCACACGAGGGAGAAATCCCGGAAATTTCACTGGCACACGCGCGCATCACGAGATGAAAGCGCGAGGCTTTTGCACATCGCAAAGCCTGACGTTTTCGTCGTGGCATGCGCATGCCGGGGAGAAATCCCCGGGATTTTTCCCTCGTGTGAATACCCCTTAAACAGCGGGCTGCAGGGACTACAAGCCTAATAAAGCGCCCCGTATAGTTTTATCTCTGCGATCGAATGCCTAACGCCAGCGTCCGGCATTCGGCGGTCGTGCTCGAGCTTGTTCAATGAGTGTGTATTGCAGACATAGGCAACTAGCTTTCCATCTACCCATTAATCATTCCAGTGAGAGTTCGGCGCTCCGCGCGTCCCCGTGCGGTCTTGTCTCCGACCCTCGCTGGCAGACGTTTGTCACCAGTAGGCGATGTCAGTGTCCCAAGTATTCTTCCCATCTATTGTTTTATATTTTATGGGGTGGTGTAGACACGCTTTCAATCAACAAGAGAAAGCGACTCGCCCTGTCACAAGAGAGATTGATGACCGTGAATATGTCAATAAACATGATATGACCAAGCGTTTGGCGCATGCGTGACGCTTCCATAACTTTAGTTCCCAGACTCAGTTGGGAAACTCGCCCTTGAAATTCGCACCGCTCGCGTCCACCAAGAACGGATTAGATACGATTACAGCGCCAACCTTTAGCTGTGACTGAAAGCATGACATTGCCTTTATATAGCTGCTGCCATATGGAACTGCGAGATGGTGTCACCTTTAGCGCTACCGACCCTTGCGCGACTCAACTGATCCAGGACGTGCAGTCGTGCAGTTCTCGGAGTTACCACGGCGGGAAAAATGGTGGCGTTTCGATCGCGTCTAGAACGATTCTCCTGTACGGATCCGAGCCGCTTTTTTAAAGCAACTCCTATGACAGTTCTCGAACCAAGTTGTTTTATTGTAACATTGGTTCACAAGAGGCAGGCGGCAGTGCACGAGAAGCTCGTGCTGCCTTGTGCTCCTACGCGCAGAGCTCCAGCGAAGTCGTCCCACATGCAGAAAGAACAAAGATCCCTCGATGCATTGCGGCAGCGGCGGCCTAGTCAAACTGACTGGTGAGATCGCTCAATTAATTTATAGTTTCTCAAAGAGAAGCAGCCGCTTTGTTTTCTCTTCTCTCCAACTTCTTCAGAGAAGAAAGCTTAAATAAAAGGTGTGACATAGAGACGCTTGCTCGCTCGCACCGGTTCTAAAATAACGACATCAGTAGTAAGAGAGACATTCCGAATAAAAAGGTCACTGCAGCTTAATGACGGATCCAAGGCCTTCCTGCGAATTTAGGTTTTGGTTGTTGTTATGTGTCAAACGGGTTGACAAGGTCAAGAGGTAGTGGGGACCGCTTTCTTCAGTCTGAATCCGGCTTAGGTAGCAGCAAGTTGATCTGGTGTGTGTCCCTTTGTTCAAGACCCCCTTTTCGTCTCACGTTTGGGAGGTAGGTGTGTCGCCTAGAAATATGTCTTTTTTACATCGGAGCTGTTAAGAGTCTAGGTTCCTCAGGATCGTGTCCGATATCAAACGCATGTCGACACAAACCTACCTGGACAGCTGCCGCCACCTATAAGTGACGGCGGCAAGCTCACAGTTAGTCTGGTTGTCGCCTTCACTCGTAGATGGCGGCAACCTTTCCAGCTATCATAGAAGACCGGATAGTTGGGCGCGTTGGTGGGAATTCATCGCAGGAAACAGCGCAAAAACAGACGAGGACGCAGAAGAAACACACGTGACGAGCGCAGCGCTCGTCCCGTGTGTTTCTTCGTCCTCGTCTGTTTTTCGCGCTGTTCCCTACACTCTTATCAGTTTCGGTTTGAACTCAAGATAGGTCGGCCGCGCGCCTTTTCGGGGAAAGAGCACTGGCTGCGGAAGGAGCGGAGCCGTACGCAGCAGCGCGAATGGGTTCGCAACCGCCGCAAAGCCGCTGTCACCTCGATTTCCACTGCGTCTAGCGCTTCAGGTTCCCTTGCCAAAGAAGAGCACATCGCTGCCCGCCGAGAACAGAATTAGCGATGTAAAGGGCGCCGGCTGGCAAACGCCACGGACGACGATCGTGCCGCGGAGGCCAAGCGCAAGCGCGAGGCCCGGCGACAACAGAACGCCACGCCGGCTGAACAGTTCCCGGGTGCGACGGCGAGGTTCCGGAGGGAGTTCGTGGAGAACCCGTTTGGCGTCACGTCCGCCGTCTGGGACCGACTCTGGTTCGCAGTAATTCGATCCACGATCGGCAGTGATTCGGACAAGAAGAAGCGGGAAACGGGCGTGTGCGCGCTGCAGCAGTGTATCCCGAGTACAGCTCCGCTGGTCTTCCTTCTTCACAAGAGCGGAACGGCTAAACGTTTTGTGTGCGCGTTTTTTTTTTGTTTTTTTTTTGTGTATTATTTTTCTCGACCCTGTGGAAGGTAAGTGTGTCGCCTAGATTTTTTTTTGTGCGTGTTTGCATTTTTTGTGTCCTTGGGAAGCGGAGGCTGTGTATGCGGTGGCTGGCAACCTTGGGTGTGGGGTATATAGGGGAGAGAACTGAATAAACCTTTTAATGGTGCAATCGAGACGTTGTCTTCCTATCACTTTGCCTTTCTCTTCCATTTTTTGATGTTTTATAGTGTTTTCGCCCCAGTCTCGGCTAATTCAAAGACATGGCAATGCTAGACTAGCTCGCCTGTGCTCTCACTGTCATTTCGTCGAAATACGCTTGTTGGCTCTAACTGGGTTCCCCTAACCAACGACTGTTAATCACAACCCCCCCCCCCCCCCCCTGTCCAAAAGAAAAAAAATATATATATATGGATATATTACAGCAGTTACGAGCTGCGGAATATAATCGAAGGTCGCGTGCTTCAGGCTGACCACTAGTGGGGGTGTGGGGGTGGCCGCGTTCGGTAACGTGACTTTCATAGCTTTCGTGTGACTTTACAGCAAGTGACAGCTTAGGTGACGCAAGGTTTTACGATTCACGAGCACCTTATTATCGCTCCGCGGCCTATAGGGCTTCGGCAATAGCCGATAAGGATGACACACAAAGAAGCAAGTAATTCGGACATAAAGAGCCATGTCTTGCGTTTCTTAAGACTGCCAGTTAGTGGTGCAAAACTGTCGATAGTACTATCGATAGTATCAATAGTCGCCAGAAATCGGACTATCGATAGTAAGAAAACTATCGATAGTACTATCGATAGTCGACTATCGAAAACTCGAAAGTACTATCGATAGTCGACCATCAAAAAACTATCGAAAGTACTATCGATAGTCGTCTACCGTAAACATCTCGATAGTACTGTCCACGGTTTACTAACGAGAGATTTGCGACACTATACTTCGTTTCACCTTCAGTCCGAGCGCAGCGGACGCTACGAGCCATCCCAGCCAATCTAGCGCCGGGAGAGTATCACGTGACCTTGTGGTTGGGCGGAGCGACACGCGGAGCTCGAGATTACGCGATACTCCCCGGCGCTGGATTGGCTGGGACGGCGCGTAGCATCCACTGCGCTCAGACTGAAGGTGAAACTAAGTATAGTAGTTTGCGTCGCTCCCTCTTCCCTGTTTCTCGCTTTATTTTTTTTTCAAATGGGATACCCAACTAGCCCAAGCACTTTCCATCCCAACTTTGGTTCACTTTCAGTGATGCCGAAGACTGGAGCAACGGGAGTTTGGACGAAGAGAGGAGGAAGGGAGGCGAGCGGCGGTGCGGCGACTGTGTTCGCTCTAGTAATGCCAAACTATCGATAGTACTATCGAGTGTCGATAGTCGCCAGAAATCTGACTACCAATAGCAATAAAACTATCGATAATGTCGCAGAACTATCGATAATCGACTATCGAAAAATTATCGATAATACTATTGATAGTCGACTATCGAAAAACTATGTTAAACTATCGATTGTACTATCGATAGTCGACTATCGAAAAACAATCAATATTACTATCGATAGTCGACTATCGAAAAAGTATTGATATTACTATCAATGGTCGACTAACGAAGAACTATCGATAGTACTATCAATAGTCGACAATCAATTGTTGTGCGACACTATCGATAGTTTTGGAAAAAAACTATCGATAGTAACGATAGTCGATTTACCGATAGTTTTGCATCACTACTGCCAGTGCTTTTGTAGCCACTTTAGTCACCCATCGCGCAAGAAACAAAGGGCGTGACGAATGCCGCTTATCTTATTATTGCTCCGGACCTAATGAGATTGCGGCATGAGCCGATAAGAGTGCCAAAGACCAATCACGGAGAGAGAAACGTAAACATGGGAAGCCGCGCCCTCCATTTCTTAAAGTGGCAGTGACTCGGACTCGGCTAGTGCTGCCAGTTTAGCTGTACGGACCCCCAAACTGATGTAGGCCGTCATGACGCTTCCGGCGATCGTTGAGAAGCCCCCCGTCATGACCACGTGCAGCTCAGAGTTTGTGATGGCCGCCAGGAAAGGCCGGATGATCAGAGGTGCTTCCGACTGCAAGAGAAAGCGACAGGCGACGGTGTCTTTGGGCAAGATACAAGCAAGTAGGGCACTGGGACCACGTTTAGTTGCTGTAGTAACCGAAGGGCAAAGGACAGACTACGCATTAAAGTGGTATTGACACTTCAGGTTGCTTTCTCGACCTGTCCGACGTTTACTTTCCTTAAAATGAATGTTCTTGCTCTAAAATAATATAGAAACGCCCGCGCGCACCTAAGAGATAAAATGACCTCAATTATTATCATTAAACTATTCATTTTATTCAAATATTGTTTTTTTTGGACACTCGGACATTACGCACGGAGAAACGTGACGTTAAGTAATTAGTATAGAATTGACCGTCTTCATCGGCACGTTTTCAGTTAATAAACGTCGACCATATCGATCTAACCACACCTTCGGCGCAAGCGTGTCACCGCCATAACTATGGTCCGCAAAAGGTACGTGACAGTAGATTCACGCCCAGAGGAGCGGCGGGGTTTTCGCCCATACAGGAAAAATTAGAGTACTTTGCGGCAGTGGCATCGTAGTCAAACTGACTGGTGTAGAATGCTTTTCTGCACGCATTCATTAGAGGTAAAAACAACTGACCACTTTGTTCGCGACGCTTCTTGATAATTGTTTGTTCAGCATTGCTTGAAAGAGCATCTCCCGGCCGGCCTCTCAGCATTGACTGTTTTACGACGGCATTTTCTTACCGGCTATTTTTCTTTTGTATTTGTTCGGAGAGCGCGAGTTCTCGGCATTAGGTAGTACAAAAAATGACATAACTTCAAACAAAACAGATTGGGGCACCCTTGTTTGAATTCCCTTGCTGCTACCGGTCTCAGAGAATGACACTATTCACTGGTTCAACAACATGTAGTCTTTTCGTGGCCCTTATCGCCCCTGCGCCAAAACCCAAAAAGCTCTCGCGCATACGCTGAGACGGCCTTTATCGCGTGGCCAAGTTCACTTAGTTTTCGTACGGTGGAAATGATTATGGACGATTTGGCAGCAGGGCTGCTTGGTCCAACCCATTGGATCCCTAGGCTGCCCAGTGGCGTATCCAGGAATTCTTATTCGGTGAAGGGGGGAAGAGGCTAAGGTGGTTTTGATGCCCTTGACTCGGGGTGCAGAGGGGAAGGGGGAAGGGGGGCTGAAACAATACCACCTAGAACACAAGGCCTGTGCGTTTCCTTCTCTAAACGTCATCACTAGTAGGTCCCCTCAGCCAGGATGAGCAGCATCCTCTGCTACACTGTAAAAAAAAAACAACCGTAAGTTAACAGCCTTTTTCAAAACTGGAAAGCACCGTGAGAGGCGCGCACAGACAAAACGCCGTAGAGGCGACATGACGGCACGAGTCCGTAAATGTACGGCTTCACATATTTCTTAGTTCAGGTCTGTGTTCGCTTTTCTTTCAAGTAAAAACACATAACACACGCCACGTTTGCTCTAGAGATAGTTTTCTTGTTGGCAGATGTCTCATGCTACTTGCCATTCGTGCCAATGCTAAAATCTCTTTTAAACGGCGGAGGGAGACCCACCCAAAGGCCGGCGCACTCAGCTCGCGGACGACGACAACCGATCGAGGAGCGCCGTCCATCACGTGATGTTTACTTCCCGGTCCGTACGCTCGCTCACGCGTGAACCACCACGGGCGGGGAGGGCGGCAGCACTCTTCGTCGTTGCCGCGATCATCTTTCGCCATTCAACCGGACTAAGAAGGTAAGCTAGCTCATTTTCGCATGGGCCTTGCGAGATAACCGAAGTGCAGAAGGAATCAAAGACGCGTAACTGAACGGAATAGCGCGGGCTGAGTCAGAAAACGCGCCATATTTTTTGCTTTAGCTTCCCGACTCAGTTGCGCGAGGGAAACCTATCCTCGCATCAGACTCGACTCGATGGACGTGTGCAGGCGCAGGACTCATCGCCATGAGTGTTTGGTTTGCTCTGGGCTGAGTGGGCTCTCCCGAACTCCTTCTGTTCGTACCTTTTTTGCTTTCGGGCGCCGTCACCCTTTCGCTTTCGGCCGCGGTAAGAACCGGAGAAATCAGATTTTAACATGAAAGACTGAAGCGCGCTCGTTGAATAATCATAATGAGCGCTGTCGCGTACTGAATTTAAGAGCATGTCGTGTTTTCTCTAGTTTATACACTGATGTTTAGGACAATTGCTGGATCGCGTACCCCCGCTTGATCGCTGCAGCCCGAGTGCGGGCACCGGACGGCAATCTTGCATGTTGAGAAAGCGCGTTTTTGGAGCGTTGCGGAGGCTGGCGACAGCGTGCTGAAGACACGGTTTCTACTCGTTCGTCGTCATTCACCGAAGAAGTTCTTTAAAACTCGATGTAAGACGTGAGACTTGCCGATGAAAACACGTGACAATTTTTACGGAAGCGCAGTGCAGCAGAAAGAAGGCACAACTCGTCGAAAGCAAGTTTCGCCGGTCTCGCGGCATGTTCAAAGCTTCCTTTGCACCCCGAAGCGCTGCGTCTCTATGCCTTCGCACGCTTGAATGCCGGTCAAGAATTGACACCGTGTGAATGTGTTTTGCGAGTGCAATGTGCCTGTAGCCGTATGTGCCTCTGGAGCAGCGGTTTACTTTGCTCTGACGACTGTATTTGTAAGTAAGTGGTGACAGAAGAGGGGGGGAAAGTACTTCTTTTTTTTGTTGTTAGACGGTTCAGAGAATACCGCGCACAACAGCTCCTCGTCAGTGATCAGCGGTGTCTCATTATCAACCTACTTAATTTCACTTGACGTTTGAGCACGGCTCGCCTAATTGTGATTGGTCAACAGACTGCACACGACCATATGGACCGCGCTTCAAAGATCTTCATTTTCGCCGTCTTGTACTTTTGCCTTCGAAAACCCTCCTTGCTCTACAGCGTTGCTCTATTTGTGCTGCTATGTGATCTATTAGAGTAGATTTGGAACACAGCCATGGTTAATAGTGCATAAAAGCAACTGTACAGATTGCTTTCCCCCCTTTATTGATAGCAACTCGCCTGAACACCTGGATGCTCCAGAACTCTTTAGCCGATAAAAGATGCAAAGACATCTATGCACGACACACCTTCAAAACATTTTCGCGGCACCAATTCTTGATCAGTATCCTAGCGTGCGAAGACACAGAGACTCGGCGCTTCGGCATGCCAAGGAAGCTTTGATCATGCCGCAAGACCGTCGAAACTTGCTTTCGACGAGTTGCGCCTTTCTCTTGCGGCACTGCGCTTCCGTAAAAATTCACACATGTTACTCACTTATATTTGCCTACGTAAAAGCGACTATTAAAATATATGCTCAATCAAAAAGTGGCCACTTTCCGAGAAGAGTGTCCAACCCTTAGTTTCCCTTTTGTAGTAGCTTCTCCTTGGCTGGAACGATTATTGATGCCTTGCGTGGGGGGAAGAGCGGTGTCAATCATTGTTTCGGTGGCACCGATTACTTGAGGAACACTCGTAGGAATCTTCCTCCCATTATTTTCATTTTAGGGAAAAATGTTTGTTGTGACGTGTGGTTTATTCGCTATGTTTAAATAGTTTTGTTGCTTTGCAGTTTTCAAAGATGGGACTGATTTTGTTATTGCATCAAGCTTTAAAGGCAATGCCCTGTTGGAAAATTTCGATGATGGAAAGATGTTGGAAAAGGCTCATACAAGCGTAACCGTAATATGGGACATCCTATACAAGCGAAAAGGCAGGTCCAGTAGATTGGATTAAGGCGGAACGATACAGGTAGGCGGAACCATACAAGCGTGTCGTATTATGGGACATTCTATACCGGCGTAGTGGATTATGGCGGAACCATGTAGGCGGACGGAACCATACATCCATAACGTAATATGGGACATCCTATACCACCGAAAAGGCGATACGGGCATGGTGGAGCCATATGGCTCCAACGTGGTAGTTTCGCCTTTTCACTGTTGTACAGGGCAATTTAGTTCTAAGCTTTACATATATGTCTAGAAAGGTCGTGAAAGCTAAATTAATGCGATGTGTGCAGGCGAGTTATACGGCCAGGCGTACATAGTATAGGGACCTAGTCGTAACGATCAGTCAGATAATTAAATGCAATTTGTTAATTAACTTTTTAATTAGTGAAAATGAAAATATGGTTTCTATTAGAAACTTGCTGAGTCACTGAAAACCACAAAATCAACTCTTTTTAGAAGGATATAATGCAGGGGTAGCATTTTATGCGCTCTGTAAAAATGCTTTATTTGGACGAGTTTCTAGGTTTCAGTTTCTTATCAGAGCTCATCTTTGCGCCCACGGTCCTGTTCCCCAGGGGCTTAGACGCGCAATACACGTACACCTTGCTTCCCTCCATCCTACGAGGGAGGCGAGGGGGCGGCTTCGCGCTGCGGCCACCGGGCAGCAGGACCGCAGGTGCAAAGATGCGCTCTGGTAAGAAACCAAAGTCTGGAAACGCGTCCAAATTGACCATTTTTTTAGAACACCATAAAATGCTGCTCTTGTTTTATATCTTCACAAAGAAAGTTGATTTAGTGTGTTTTGATGATGCTTAGCAAGTTTCTAATTGGAACCATGGGTCTATTTTCACTCATTAAAAATTTCAGGAACATACTATACTTAGAGAGAGGCTGAAGCGGTTTTGTATTTGAGAAAACACTTTTAAATCTTCTTCATATGACCTCCAGAATCTCAAATATCAAAATTATTTGCTAATTTAATTAATCGAGGCTGCATAGAGTCATTTTTAAAGCGCTTTGAAAGCACTTCCCTAGAGAGGGACGTCACAAGAGCAGCTTTCAAAATCTTTGTTCACGCATCTTCAGTGCCTATGAAAGCTATGCACGCACATGCTATTTTTTAAAGGGGCAGAAAAATGTGTCACGACTGGTGCCAATGCGGGAGAATATACCTAGAAAACTTGCGACTGGACGCGCGGCCCTTAAGCGACATACACTTGGCGGCTGAAAGGTCTTCTTACGATGTCACTATTGGTAGGATGTTTTTTTGTGTTTTCTCACGTTTAGTTATA